GGGGGGGGCAATGACCCCCGCCAATAAACATCTCTACTGGTTAGCCAGAAAAAAAATGATGATGGCAAAGATAAAATACCTGTGGTTCAATGGTGGTAAAATTCGATGCAAACAATCAGACGGATATCCGGCGGTAGTTATAGAGAAATCTAGAGACTTGGACGTTTTATATGAATTTTGTATGTAAGTCTCCCAAAATTTGTATCAATTTTAGTCTTTCCTATCAAAAATATTTTAATTTTAATTTTTGTAAGTTACCTTCTTCATTATCGTTTTAAAGAGCTGGAATTTCATTTGACTGAATGTTTTTTTTATAATTTATTGTAACCAAAGCCATCTTTATATTTTTTCACATCATAAATTAATTCTTTATATTTATTTTTATTCGAGTCTATATGATTTTAACTCTTTCTTTTCAAAGTTTATATTTTCTTTTCTATTGCAAAAATGAATATTTGCATCCCCGATCCTCGATCCTTTTCTCCGCAACTCTCCTTCCCAACATCTCAGTTATGACTAATATCCTAAACTCCTGTAACGTCAATGCACAATCCCTTAATGCCCTCTTTGATGAATTACAGAAATATTTCCTCGGTAATTTTTACCACACAATAGCAGTATCTGAAACCTGGTTGAAAACTTTTATACCTTCTTCCCAAATTTCCCTCCCCAATTACCCCAATGTACATAATAGTCTCAAGGCCAAAATCCTCTTACATGACCTCCCTCACGTTGAATATTTATTTTTTGAAATTACCTCTATTTCCTCTCCTTTATTGTATGTTGTTTTCTACCGCCCTTCTCGTGTTCTATTTGACCAACTCTTTGAATCCTCCCTTGTCAATCTGGTTTCCTCCTACTCCAATATCATCATCTCCGGCGATTTTAATGTAAATATGCTCTCAGAATCTCCCAAAAAAATACTACCTCAATGACCTAATATTTTCTCTCAATCTTTATCTTGTCCCTTATTCTCTCACTCATCACACTCAGTTCTCTGACACCTGGTTAGACCTCCATATCTCTGACTCATCCCTTAAAATCCTTTCCTCCTCTCAACACCCTGTACCCTTTCTATCATCACACGAACTGATCCAAATCTTGTACGACCTACCAGTGAAATCATTTACTCCCAAAATAGTGTCATATGACAATTTAAACCTTCTTTCATATGAAACCCTTCAACCTGACCTTGATTCTGTCCAATGGGATACCATATTTTCCTATATCTCCATTGACCCTATGATATCCAACCTTACATCAAACCTACAATCCATATTAGACATCTATGCTCCTCTGAAAACCAGAATCTTACGTCGTCCTACTGCCCCTTGGCTGACTCCTGAAATAAAGGGAATGATAAAGAGAAGGAATGCAGCAAGGCGCAAATACCGTCAGACCCGCTTACTTGCTGATTATGCGTCTTTCAAACAACTTCGCAATGCAACCCAATCCACAATCCGACTTGCTAAATCCAACTACTTTCATAATGCCCTTTCCAATGCTCCCGATTCCAAATCAAAGTGGAAAATACTTCGTAATCTATCCCTACCAGATTCCAATAACCTCATTTCCCGCTCTGTGACTCCAGGTGATCTTAATGACCATTTCTTATCTTGTACTTCTAATCCTTCTCCTACACATGATATTGAACACTGCAATTTCAATCCTGAAGACTTCTTTTTTTTTCCATGTGTCCTACGACGAAGTACTTTCCACTGTCCTCAAATCCCACACCAATGATTATGGTCCTGACAATATTCCAGTAAAACTAATAAAATCCAGCCTTCCTACCCTTATTCCAGTGCTTTATCATATCTACAATTTTTCATTGCAAAATTCCATATTTTCCTCTTACTGGAAAACTGCACTAGCCCGACATTTGAGTAAAATCTAACATCTAAAATCTAACCCTTCCTCACAGAACGACTTCCGTCCTATTTCTCTACTTTCCAACCTCTCAAAACCACTGGAACGCCTTGTCAAAAATCAACTTTCCAACTTCCTAGAAGAACGTTGCCTCATCAATCCATTCCAATCTGGCTTCCGACTTGGCTATTCAACGCAATCTGCCCTCCTTAAAATAATCCATGACCTCCAAAACTATTGCTGCACTCGACTATTGCTGCACGGTATATGGAGTCGTCTCTGGTGATCTCGAGGCGAAACTTTGAAAAATTGGTTTGTATGATTCATCTTCGGGATCCCAAGAGCCGCCCCTGTTTCCTGTTTCTATGAAGAGTTGAAGTGGCTTTATCCTTCCTACCGCCGTAAGTATTTTCTGGCATCCTTCCTCTTCCAAGTAATTCACTCCCGCCGTCCTTCATACATCGCCAAGCTCCTTCAATTTAAATCCTTTGTCCACTCCCACAAAACCCGTTCCCAGTCTTCAGATTTACATACAATGGCCCACCGAACCGTTCCTTTCGATAAATCTTTTATTATTCGATCCTCTTCCCAGTGGAACTCCATCCCTCTCCATACCAAAAAAACCGACAGCAGAAATTGGGAAATTCTATCCATCCTAAAGGAATATATTCCCATATCTTCTAAGAGACCATGGTAGATTGATAGGGTAATTGACATCTACGAATATTTTAACTTGATGTAGAAGTCGGGTGCCTACCACTCCCGAACATAATTCGGATGTTTACATGCACCAATGCATGGGAGGAAATCTACAGTCCCCGCCAAAAGTATTGTAACACCCATAATTGTCGAGATTTTCTTAGTTTTGACCTTAATCCATACTTTGGTTATATTTATAGTAATATTATTTATTAAATGAGATTAGCTATCAGACACATCATTTTTTTCACTGCTTACCAACAAATCAATGGAATTTTGGTTTATTCATTTCAAATTTACTTTCAGTCCATGTTTGTTTTTCGTTTGCCTCAAGTCTGTTCTCTCCTTTCTCTTTGGTCTATTTATAACAATTAATTTTATTCACAATGAGTCGTTTAATAAGCCACGATGATTCGGTCAGAATCATCGCTCTCTCTAAAGAAGGCAAATCATTGCGTTACATCGCTAATCGCCTTGGGATTCACTATTCTTCCGTTTCAAAACCCATAAAAGGTAGAGGGAGACTCGTAGTCATTCGGATCGACCAATGTCAGGGCGTCCCAGAGTTACTAATCCCATAGATGACCACTTCATTAAAATGCACGCACTTCGGAAGCATGATAATACAGCTTCTTCCATTAAAAATTTGATCGCTAGTGTTCATGTAGTGGGACATCAATCTCGGAGTCAACAATCATCGTTAGAAGCCTGAGAGAGAGTCAAACCTCAGCTCAAGTAGGCCAGTGAAAGGTCATTTTCTCACCGCTTAAAGAGATTGAGATTTGTAAGAAACACCAATCTTAGATCTTAGAGGAATGGAAAAAAGTTGTATTCACTGATGAGACGAGAGTGGCCCTTGACTCCCAGATGGCCTTGAAAGACTTTGGGGAAGGCCTGGTGAACGGTAGTCAGTGCTGCACGGTAGAACCTGAGCCATTTGGAGGGAGTTCTACCATGTTCTGGGGCGGCATATCTTGAGAGGCACCTACCTAGTTAATGCCAATCCAAGGAGGATTCTTGAAGATTATGTAGTGCCTTTGATGCCGTTCATAGACTCTGAATCGTTACTCATTCATGATAATCCCTGTCCTCACAAAAGAAGATATGCTTTTGAGAACCTGAACATCACAAATATCCACACCATTGATTGACTAGCAGGAAGTCCTAACCATAACCTAATCGAGCACGTATGGGAATATCTCATAAGAAAGGTTCGGTCACAAAATTCACCTCCTACTACCCTTGAAATGCTAAAGGCAGCTGTTATGGAGGAGTGGAACAATATACCTCAAGATTTTCTTAAAAATCGTTTTACAAGTATGCCAATACGAGTAGAAGCAGTCATTCAACCCACAGGAGGCGATACATTTTATTAAAAATTGTAAGAAAGGAATATTTTTAAAGGTAAATTTTCTTAATTTTTTGGTTATTGAAGAAATATTGGAATTTATATTAATAAAACTTGTTTATATTAAACATATTTATTATAGACTTTAGAACCCTTCTGTATTATTAAAAACAAACGTTTTGCTAAAATTAAAATATTTCTAAGAGTTTTGATACTTTTGACGGGGAAGTTATTTGCCTATAGCCGTAATGTGTTGTGAAAGGCATGCAATTATTGAACCAAGTTTAAATATTCGTAGATGTCAATTCCGCATTCAGTCTGCCAAGATGTTTAAGTTGACTTTAAATTTTACTAATGATAAAAAGTACCATTTTTGTTGCTAAAATCACCTCCTTGAATAACCGTTGTCTATGAAACAGTACTTTCCCTAAATATTACTGAACCCAAGATCCTTCATGGACTCAGTGGTTGCACAGTTGATCTCAGGGTTGCAGTGGTACAGGTTTTCTTCCCTTAGTTTAAACGGAAATCTTAACCTTGATAATTTACATTACTAAATTAGTAATTTATATGTTTATTTTATGTTTAGAATTTGTTTTTTATTCAGTTAAAAACAATAATATGGGCTGATCAGCGCAGTTAAGTTAATATTTCTTATTGTTTTATACAATTTTGGTTTCGTTCTGTTAATTTTTTTTTGTTTTAAATAAATATGTTTTAGCAGTAATATACCATAGTTTATAATAATAATCTGCATTTTTTTTATCTCTTTGCGAATTTAAAATTGCTCGGATTCAAATTCCACTTCACTCAGTACAATTTTTTCCATTTGAATAATATTTTCTTGATAGACATTGTTGACAATGGTTTGGTTTCCATTTATAATAATATGTTGTTTTTTTTTTTAGATCCACGGAGAAGGGGTCATGTATAGGAATAAGGAATCAGATGACACCCACAAAATATCGATGTGGAAGCAAGAGACAATATGAAGATAGATGTCAGAACTCCATTATCTTACTTTCTTAATAATTTAAAAGATAAGATGATTAAGAAATAGTCAAATAAAAATATCTTTGCTTACTGAAGTAACACTTCTTTCCAACTCGATTGCTTTAATTACTGACGATTCAGGAGTCCATTCACAATTCTCGAGGGCGACTATATCATTATAATGAACGTTTCCTCCACGTTTATTCTGAAATTCAATCAGTTTTGTCGCATGTTCTGTTTCTTCTTTTGAAAAGAACAGATACATAGTAAAGAAACCTGGTAGGGCTACAGCAGGGTGTTCGAAATGGTAGGCCTGTAGGACAGATGGTTGTTATAAATGGATCTGGACCATTTTCAAAATAATTTCAGTATTATACAGTTCTAAATACTTTTAGTCAAATACCATGGTAGATCTTAAAATATTAAGAATGTAAGGTGGTAACATTGGCATAACTACAGTCTACGTCAATTCGTTGAGTTAAAAGTGATACTTCGCACTTTTTCAATGCAGTTTTTAAATCTATAAGCATACGTTTGTCATGAGTGTTTCTTTATGTTATTTCTGTTAGTTCAGATAGTGTTAGATAGATAAGTTCTCCATAGAGGAGTCCACAATATAACTGAGGTATGATTTATAAAAATTATGACAATTCTTTTTTCAAAAAAATAGATGATAGAAAGATGAGATACGATCTGAAGATGAGATAATAAAGTGATCCCGAACCTTCATAAAAATAAAGAAACATTTTTTTGGGAGAGTAAACTGTTACGTAATTTTATTCATATCAATAAACATCTCCCTTAGGACTTATGAACAAAATATCTAGTTTTTTTTCGTTGATTTATATTTGTTTCTATGAGTGATTTGAGGTAAATACTAAATGTAATTACATTATTTTTAAATTATAGTGCATTTACTGTTACTAAATGTAAGTACATTTCAAGAAAAAATATATCTTGAAAAATTATTGTTCCTGTAATTATATTTTAATTTATTTTTAATGTTATATATTTATATTTTAACAGTTTTTCAAGGACCATTTAATCATCATTTTATGTAGCTTCTTTGTTTTTTATCCACAATAATTACCGCTATAAAAAACTAAATTTAATGAATGTTCACAACATCATATTCAGAGTAAATTATTTTACTGACACGGTAATGAATTAAAATACTCACCAAGCTATTCTAGTTTTGAAAAAAAAATTTCTCTATAATTGCACTTGGATAGAAAAACACTTCTGCTAGCCACTGGAAACAAAATGGTAACTCTAGGCCAGTCTAACCAAGAATTTCTATAATCTTTTTAAAATCCAGATAACACTCCTAAAGTAACTCATGACTAATTTTTAGGGCAGTTATCAACATTACCAAGGTATTGATCCTCAAGTGAATTTATTTAGTCTTAAGCAGACCCTACATGGTAATTCATGAATGAACGTCACAATGATGGCAAAGATTGCTCGGGATCGCTTTGATCATGAAGACCCTTATTTTATTAAGCAGACCCTACACGGTAATTCATGAATGAACGATACAAGAAGTGCCAAGATTGCCCGCGATCGCTTTGATCATGAAGACCCTTACACGTTCAATCATTACTGATCATTACTTATAGTTGCTGATACCAATTTAGCTCAGTTGTAAACAAAGAAACAGCATAGATAAGCTTATTTGGACATTGTCATTTATAATCAAGAGAAAAACGGAGATATAATAATTACTTCCTAGTGCCTGAAAATCGTTTAGACCAAAGCTAGAAAAATATAAGTCACCTATATAAAAAAATCTAGGAAAAGTATTGCGAAAATAATCAATTTGTTAAGAAAAATGGAAAAATTAATGGCAAATAAACACAACAGTTAAAAGATTTTTTTCTATAAGTAAATTGTGAAGTTTCCACTTTTTTTTCTCTTCAATTTATTGCCTACTTGACTATTTAAAGAAAAAATAGTTTTAAATGGTTAATGATAATATAGACTAGGGATATAAACAACTATTTACTTTTATGAAGTTATTTACTTAATAACGAGACCTAGGTAAACTAACCTATCTAGTAGTAAGGTTAGTCTCATAGAAAATCGTTTTGACAAAAGTTAGTAAAATATAAGTCTACTACTTACAAAAATTAAGGAAAGGTATTGCGAAAATAATAAATTTCTTGAGGAAAATGGGAAAAGAACTGATAATTATACACAACGTTAAAGTTTTTTTTTTTTTCTTAAAGTAAATTGTGAAGTTTCCTCATTTTTTTTTTTAATTTGTTGCACACTTGGCTATTTAAAAGAAATAGTTGAAGATGGTTTAAAATTATAAACAAGGGATATGAAAAATTATTTAACTATTTACATATAATGAAAATCAGAAATTTATAATGATTGTGAGGCCTAGGTAACCTAACCTATCCAGTAGTATGGTCAGTCTCCCCACTACTTTAAATCAGTCCCCCCTCCACTTCTCGTGAATGAACCTTTGATTTCCGGATGTTCGAAAATCCACAGCGCACCACCATCAGTACTTCATTCAATACCTTACACAATAATTCGGAACGTCATTAGTGCAATTCCAAATGACCGTGTAGGGTCCGCTTTATTACAGAAGTAATTAAAGATGTTCTAGCTTGGTTAGCGACAAAAAAAAAATTGTCTCATGAAAATGTCTTTCTACTGTTTAGCCCGATAATTAAAATTTTATTATCTAGTATCAGCTTGATGCAATTATTTTTTCGATATTTGAAGAATTCAAAATCAACTTAAAATGAAAGTTTGATAAATAAAAATAAACTGAAAACTACGGACTGTAATGTTGCATAAAATTTGAAAATGACCCATATTGTTTTTCTTGAGGCATTGACTACTAAGACTTATACAAATTTTTTTTTTAAAGTTCCATACCATTGTCAAATAAGCATAACTCGCGTAAAGCTCCTGATTTATCTGTTGATTTATTTGTTCCTCACATTCCGAGTTGAAGTTGAATTTTATATCATCGTCGCTACCAGTTGAGTATCTAGTAAGTTTAATGCTATATCCTGGTTTTAATTTTGTGAGGCATTTATAAAAATCAGATCTCAATACTAACTTCAACGCCGAAAACATCTTATATCGATTTCCATATGTTATTTAAATATTAAGAGTTAATTAAACTATTACATACGATTTGTTTTTAATAAAGAATTTTAAAAAAATACTTAATTAATTTTTTCTGCATATAATTTTTAAAAATATAAAATAACCTAGTGGTTAAATAGTATATAAGAAACAGTTGCCCTTTATGGTAAATTCTTGAATTAATTTCTGTCGGTTGGTAACATTGGCCCGCCAGTTGACCTAATGAGAATGGGCAACTGGAATATTTGACACTAGGGCACGGTCTTGGGGGCTGTTCGTGTCCTGTGGAGGGATGTAGGTCTTCATCGATTTTTTTGTAGTTGTGTGCGTTCTTTATTGTATCGTCTTCATTTCGGAGATGTTGAACATATTTAAAGAATTAAATGTGATAGAACCAACGAAAAGACGTTCTTTATTCATCACAGCTAGTAGAACGCCTGGAATTACAACGCCTAATGGTTTTTAAAGTAAGTATTAAGGGGCGTTACCATTGTAATTAATATTATTTTACTCTTAGTTTTGAATCGTTTCTGAAACCCAATTTCTTTTCTTTGGGTGTGTTTGAGATAAATATAAATTCTTTTAAATAATTTATTTTGTTTTTATGCTATTTGATTTTTTAACCGTTAAAATGTTGCATATTAAACTAATATACTGTCTGCATCGAAAATACTGTTCATAACGTCTCATTTGTGCTGATTTTCCCGATTATCTGTTTACTAGTGTTCACATTTTGATAGGTATTTACTGGAAGTATTTTTCAGTGTTTAATTAAGATTTGGCTGAGGATTACAATTGTATTTGGATTTCTTATCTTTCCTTATCAAAATGTTTATCAGTTTTAAACTTTTGTTTACTTTTTATTCTGTTAACTGATCTTTTCCTTTGTAAAACTGTCAATTAATTGATAAGAGATATCTGTGATACTTTCAGTTCTTTGTTTCATATTATTGATTGAGATGTATACATTTTTTATTACAGAAGGGATGGATGAAGTTATATGATGACAAGTTGGGCAGAAAGAATGCATCGCAGAGCTGCTACGTTTAGTAATGTTGTAACTTCCTGTGGCCAACCCAATGTACCTTATCCAAGGAGACTGGAAAAGTTAGTAGATCTGATATATTTGACCAGTATTTTAGAAAATTACTTCTTCTATTTGAATTTTACTTTATTATCATATAAAAGTCTAATTAATTTAACTTTAAAGGGTGAAGTTTGGTGTACCACTGGAAGAAGTATGCAAAAAAGATATTCCAGGACCTTTATTAGTAAGTATTCCTCGTCCATTATTCAATTTCTTGCTTACCACATCTGTAAAGAATGGACTGGCCCACTTTATCTGTCATTCATGTTTTTTAATGACTATTGTAATAGATCATTTGCATTTCATCAGGTTCTTATATTAAAATTGAATAAAGAAGCCCCTGTGAAGAAAGATGTTTTTCGAGCACCAGGCCATCTTGGAAATATGAAAAAACTTATTCATTTTCTTCAAACTGGACGTTTGGTTAACATGGAAAAATTCTCTGTTTACACAATTGCATCTGTTTTGAAAAAATTTTTGAGGAAAATACCTGGTGGTATATTTGGACGCAACAATGAGCAGCAATTGTTTTCAATAGTTGAAATGGAAAATGTGGAAGATCAACGTAATGAAATTCAAAAGTAATTACTTTTTGTTTCCTTTTTCTTATTATTTATCTTCTTTCTAAGCCTTCATTTAATTGATGATTAATTTATACATAATACACTGTTTATATTTATACTTAAACTATACTATTTGGCTCAGAATAATTAATATATTTTTATATCATTCATATTATCGCTATTTGAAAAACAATTTGTAATATTCCAATGTTTACATTTTAATTACCAAAAATAAATGAAATAATTTATATGAATGTTGATAAATTGATTTAAATTTATATGATGTTTTAAAATATTTTTCTTTATCATTATATATTTAATTATAAGAAAATCTTGTTCCATGGAAAGATTGATTAATTTGAAGGTAATTTGCTGAGTAATTTAACTGTGCACAATTTCGTATGTGCTAATAAATTAAAATTCCTTCATCAAGGCCAAAATTAGGCCACCTTTGGTAATGTAACCACCGTGATGAGGTAATGGACATAATTATTCTCTTAAGCTTAATTAATGATTCAGTGTAAGATGATTACACGGGGTATTAGCGATATTACTATGAAAAAAAAAACTATGCTAATGTTAAATAATTGCTTTTTAGTGTCTTATTAAGTTTTCTTCGTTCAGGAATTTTCCCTCAATTATTTGAATATTTTTCAAAACTTTTTTGTTGGTGTTGATATTATTTTTTTTAGACCATTATTCCTAACTACTTTTAGAGTTGTGTTTCACATGGAAATAAAAATTTTGAAAGTTAAATTAAATTTATTATCATAAAAAGAACATTATTCCTTAGTTTTAATTAAATTAATTTTGGTGCATACAGATACTCTGCTTTATTTACATCAGAGACCTTTCGCTTTCAAATGAATCATTTAATTGGATTATTCAGTGTGGTCAAAACTTAATTTTAGAATTAATCTTTTTGAAAATATTAATTTTTTAAAAATGTTTCTATAGTTTATGTATGTGTTAGCCTATTTTGTTTCTGAGTTGTAAAGAAAAAATAAATATTTTTTTTTGTGTAAAACAAAAACAAAAATCTTTTTCTGATGATGGAAAATAAGTGAACTTAGTTTTTAGACTCTACGTGAATTATTTCTTCTCTTTCATAATTATTCATTATTGACTTAATTCAGGTTTTTAGGTCTTCCATATGATGTTCTGTGACAGATTTATTTTCATGTAGTGTTTTATGTTATTTAGAGAAAGAAGTAAAGATATCTCCACTAGATCGTATTGTTTTTGAAATTGCTTTTTATTTCATTTTTTTTTTTAATTATGATTTTTCCAGGTTAATAACTTCTCTGCCTCAGTATACTCAGCGGTTATTAGTCCTCCTGTTTGGTACATTTCGTGTAATTGCTAGTAATGCTGAAAAATTCAACACTGGGATGACATCTGAAGCACTTGGCGTTTCTGTCGCTCCTAGCTTCTTTCAGAGTTGTGTTTCAGATGGAAAAACAGCGAAAATGGAGGATGTGTTACGTTTTAAAGTAAGTTTGTTTAAAAAACGTATATTTACATATTTAATAAGTGATTTCAGTACATGATCTTTATCTGTCCTATGTAAAAGAATGATAATGAGCACATTAAATGACTTACTTATTGAAAAGTTCACTTGCACGAAATGATATATGTTGCTTAGGGTATTTGATTAATATTGATGTTTTAGTATTTTTGTTTTTCATTCAAAATCCTCTAAATAAATCCTGTTCAGATCTCTTGATGAAAACTATTATGATCTTATAAATAATATAAAATATTAGGTAGTTGAGTCTCTAAAATTTTTTTTTGTAACTTAACATTACTGAACAAACATTTTAATTAAGTAACGTAATAACTATTTCTTTCTTTATCAAATTTTTGGTTTTGTTGCCAAAGTATTGGGAGAATCAAATCTAATCTGTTGTAAAAAGAAAATGTTTTACTGAAGTTGGTTGTGTAATAAAAAGTTTTAGAAATAAATAAAAATACAGCTAATAAAAAAATTTGATTCTTCGAAACTATTGAAATTTTCGAACATTGAGGAGGTAATAATCTTGAATGAATACCTTATTCAACAAACATCTGCTTCTAAGATAAATTGATAAATGAAGTTACAGAAAAACCATTTAAAAAAAAGGAGCAATGGAATTATTACTAAATTAAATTTAACATAAATTCAAAATAACTTTGATAAATATCAATCAAAATAAATTTGTAAGCATTTGATAGGATCTTTCCTCTTAAATTGTAGATATAAATGCTTTTATTAAATATGCATATACACCTTGTGCATAAATAAAGTCAATACTTGTAAAATTTTTGGAATACAATTCTTTCAAGCTCTAACATTATTATTTAAATGTTAAGGAACTTACATAATAAGTATGTTACGAAGAAAAGTTCCTATTATTTCATTCATAATTTTTAAAAGAACCATTAATGCTAATATATTGAGAATTGGCTGTATATTTATGTCAAAAAAAGAAAAAAAAAAAAAAAAAAAGTGTATATGTATATACAATTATTATTATTAATATTTAAAAATATACAAAAGTTTTCATTTAATTAATTTATTTTAAATTAGATAAACTAAGTACTCTTAGGTAATGCTTCAAAAACCAATTGTTGTATAAAGCTATTTTGTAGCATTTAAATCATTAAATGTCGACCAATAAATGTGATTAATGTAAATAAAGGAATTTTTTTTTTTATAGTTTGCTCTTGTAAATATGCAACTTGTATATATTTGCTTATTCTTGTTCTTGCTCATCCAATATAGGCTGAAGTTCATGTAAGTGGTATAATTAAGTGAAGCTTAGATTTTAGTATTTATTACAATTTTTGCTGATGCATGTTTTTATTATGTTGGTTTCAGTTATTTGTTAGTTTAAACTGCATGTAACTCTTTATGTTAGATGCTCGTTTAAATATGTATGGAAAAATTAATTTTGAACAAACATATTCGTTGTTCCACAACATAAATTATTCAATATACATTTATCAAACTTATTATGATGTAGAGATAGTTGACTGTGATATAATATGAGGAGTTGGTCGGGGAGTGCGGTCAAATAAATAATAAATTTAAAAAAATAATATTTTTAATTATTACGCCGACATTTCAACCCACCTTGCAGGTCTTCATCAGGGCGTGGCATCTGGCTGCAGGAGGCAGTTGATACACCAGTCTATCATCACATGTCTATCATCACAGGTGGGTTGAAATGTAAGCGTAATAATTAAAAATACTATTTTTTAAAATTTGTTATTTATTTAACCGCAATCCCCGACCAACTCCTTCTCATATTGTAATGATTGTGTATAGACAAAAACAAAGGTTGAGTAAGTTCCCA